TCATGCAATAACTAGATTGACATGCTTGCTTTCACTATTTTATTGAGTAGAAAACTAGGATTTTGTTGCGATTTCACGTGATTTTCAGTCGCTCTTGTTTGTTTTGCCAGTGCGCTTAGCTACGAGTACGCGCTTTGAGACATTCCATCTGTGGTTGCGCAATTTGTCTGTAATGAATCTGAGAGTCTTTGCCGTGCCCACTGTGTTTGATTTGTGTGTATTGACAGCATATCTACATATATTATTATGTAAAGTGTATTTGTTGAAATAGTATGGTGTTGACATAAGAGGCGAAGCCTTGGTTGACAGGATCTCGAAAACTGTGTATCCACCATTGTTCGGGTGAAGATTTGTAAGCTTTTCATAGAGTGACTCTGTTGGTTGTATTTTATGCTATTATATACAGATTGATTTTCAACAGTGTGACAGTATTAACTTCCGATACAACAACACAACTAAACGTGGAAATTTAAAATTACAATAACCAACACAATAAACGTAGACGGAAACAAACGTGTATTTCAGCCACTTCTTGATTCATACAGTTTATTGCCAAGCTTGGTCGCACCAGTACATCCGGGTACTAAATTGAACGAGTTGCACGTTTGCATCAATGATCGGGCTCACCTGAATGACATTTGAGTCGAGCACAACCGCCCATGCGTCGTTTAAAGACTTATTCACTCAATTCTTCGAATTTTTTGAAAACTACAGGTGTCGTTGCTACAGTCAATGTACGTAAACGGTTATCATAATTTCAAAAAAACACGTTTTTTGGCATTAATGACCCGCTTGCAATCGCACATGTAGTACTAGCGGTGTATGTATTTATGCTTTGATTATGTAATCATGATCAACGTAAAGTTTCTAGTAACATAATCATTGGATTCATTGAATGTGAATGTGTGATTATTTAGATTTTGGTTTCAAGTCTGCATAGGCGCGTGTATGGATAATCAATTACTGTTTTATGGTTTCTATGACGACATTTTTCATCTGGATAGTAAATTGTCAATTTCTGTCTCCAGATAACAAGCAGAGGCTTGCAATCCGATAAAATATATAAATCACCTAATGCGCTCGTGTTCCCATTATTTCATTGAACGAATCATACTGCTGTGTTTTCAGTGTGAACACACATTTTACGATAAATTAAACCATAATATTTTGTCATGGTGTAATAGCAAACACAATTATTACAAAATACAGGCGGCGAGGGAGGAGGAGAACAGCTATAAGGGGAAACACGATTCCAAGATGACGTCACATGAGTGAGGAATACCAGAAGGATTTTATATATTTATCATATTCGTCGACGTTTTACGAGCGTAGACATGTTCTAAGTATATAAATTGTTCGAAGTATCACGCACTCTTGTTTGTGTGCAATTTAAAGTTGCCATTATTTCTGTTGGTGAAATCGTAGGAAAGTCACGGTTATACGGACGATTGTTTGATGCATGTATCGGCCAACTACCAGCATACTAGTACGCTGGAGCATATAATGCGAAGTTCTCTGTGGACAAACATTTACAACAAAATACAACATTGTTGATATATCAATAGCTTTACCCGATATATTTCCAACTTGTTTACAATATAGCGACAAATCTAGCCATGTAAATAAGTGTGATAATTAATGGAAAAGTAAACCTAGATCATATTCATGGTTATGTTACACTATTGATGTTCACCTGCATCAAAAATAATAATAACAATTTGTGCATCATAACATTACAAGCTATGAGTGTTAATTAAATTAAATCCTGTACAATTGGCGGACACCGTGGTGGCCGACATTGTTGTACAAAACATCGCCCTCATAAGAAAGTATGAGGCTATGAAGCAAGTAGTTGTGGGGGAAGTGTGACGTCAATTCCCCTGATATGATTGAGGCCGAACTAAAGCGTAGATAAGATGACAGTCGCCGTGAAATCGATGCGTGATCTACTTGATCTATCTATTTCTTACTTTAAAATGTAAAAACAATATTCCAAAGGCGTGGAGAATACATAATAATCATGTCAATCGCTTACTTCTTTTCATTGACGACAGTAAACTTTTTGAGGACATCCAACATTTATTGGCGACCTCAGCGATAAAATGGATGACAGGCAATAAACGCGGTGAACTATGGGTAATATAGCCATATATGGCGCTGTAACCTAGCGGGCAGATCTAATCAGGTGAAAACACACTGACAGTTTAATAAAAATAACATGTATTAGCACTTTTGCAAGTTACTTTCGCAATCGTGACAAATTAGCGTTTATTTCAAACGAAATTTATTCGATCAAGTTGTTGCAAGATAAGGTAAACGAAAATAAATTCGCATCTGCCAGTAATAAACCGTAAAAATAATGACACTGCAATGCTGTAACGACACTGAAGCGAAGTGAACGCAAATGAAAATTACGCTGATGCCACAAGGTAGCGGACTTCTGTTTATGCGAACCCGAAGTCAAATAAGCCAAAGCATTTGCGACATTGGTATTGTATGGCTCAGGACCCAGTTCATGGATATTCATTTTTATGTGCTTCACTGGAACTATGTACAACGCTCTCGAATGTTGAATAGCCCGGGAGTGAACTTGTGTTTATAACAATCAGGGGGGGTGGGTTACGTCACTAAAACCCCCGGATGTAGATGTTTGTAGGGTGATTTTCACCTCCATGAAGACTCCCCATGTATCTTCACGCACGTTTGTTCACGAGGCTCTCTTGTTCACACAACGTGTGCAACAATAATACAAATCATTTTAAAGTATTCGTGCCAGTTCATGGCAACTGCACAATCATGAATGTGGGCTAGGTTTACTTTTATTTAATTTAGAAAATGTATATCATCACAGTGTGACATCCGCCCAGGTCTATGTATCATAAACTTAGTTATGCACTTTTCCTTCCAAAGCGTAGAATGATGATTGAAGATTTGCTAGTATTCAGGAACGTTTGGTGAAATCTGTATCATCTGTATCACTACACACCATGACGATAATAGAATAAATGCACATGTGGACGCCCTCTATGTTCGTATAACTAATGCTTTTGGTTTACTCGAAAGAATGAATAAAATAATTCCATGCTAATAATAGCGCCCGCCAGCGCCCGCCTTAGGATATTTGAAGCGCTTTGGCAATTGAATAAGTTGAAAGTAATTTTCACACACTTTTACTGACGTGACAATGACTCCATGTCTTGGCCTAACCACATAATAATAATTGTTGTAATAGTAGATAACAACTGGCATATCTTGGCAAATGTATAGATACAATTATCCGGGGTCTAATACACAACTAAGGGTCTGGTTCAATCAAAGACAGAGAAAGAGAAGTCTTCTCTCGTGTCTTTGGTTCAATATAATGCGAACAACTGTATCTCCGTATGTCATAGAATATTAAGTGACACAGTGGTTATCACGCTCGCCCTTCATACCAGAAACATAATGGGTTTGTTCCCCCCTCCCAACGACTATTTACTTAGCAGTATAAACTAAAGTACTAAAGCAAATCTTTCTAAAACTCCAAACATGCGGAATGAGGTTTGGGAAAATGGCAAAAACCACCTGGACGTTAATGAATCAATTTATCCGCATCGCAATGAGTAGCGAAATAATTGACAAAAAAAGTATATGTGCCCTATGCTGTTGCAACAAGCTCGCCATATTTCACAGCGAACACTGTGGGTTAGAGGTTTCGCACTACCGTGACAATATAAGACGCCCAGAACACATGGTGTTCGAT